GGCGCAACAAACTGCGATAACCCATCTTTTTAAATATACCAAATTCAGTGAATGCGATGAACTACAAAGATTAATAAGGTCTGTCTACCTCGCAAAACATGCTGCAGGACGTGCGGTTGGGCGAATTAAAGCACACTTAAAAATATTATTTGCGTCAGTGTGGCACGTAATTGAAATACATACTTTCAGTTTATTTCAGTTTATTTGGTAAGGATAATAGGCAAAGACTTTGAAAACCCTATTGATTACATGTCAGCTCGTTAGAAATAACTGTACACGAACAAACAATTTTCACTATTAAAACAGTACTTGATTTATTTGAGTAGCATTGTCTGAGAGAAAATATTTGTCTGGACCAGGGGTATTAATTCAGATTCAGACTATCGAGGGAAAACAGGGGACACAAATAATCATCCAAGCGTTTCTTGAACAGTTGCAGGGACGTAGCCTCCACGACAGACTGAGGGAGATTGTTCCATTTCTCCACTACCCTCTGCGTGAAAAATTCAGATCGAAGATTCAGTCTGGACATTGTTGTCCGTAACTTCATCGAGTGACCACGAAGATTGGGTGAAAGGTGCCACTGAAACATGTTCTCAAAACTAAGTCCAGGCTCAAGGCTATGTATTATCTTGTAGACGAGGATAAGATCACCTCTTTGCTGCCTGTAACACAGAGGGAATAAATTAAGGCAATTCAGTCTCTCTGTGTAGGAATGGCTTTTTAGACCGATTACCAGCTTTGTTGCACGCCGTTGTACCCGTTCGAGGCATTCTTGGTCCTTTACCAGCCATGGCCGCCATGCTTGTATGCCATATTCTAAGTGGGGCCGAACAAATGTGCCGTAAACTCTCCCAAAAAGGTCTTGGTCAAAATTTACGAAAGCCCTTTTTATTGCATGCAGCACTCCCATGGCGTTTTTTGCAGCCTTGTGACACTGCAGTGTTGGTTTCAGGTTGTTCTGTATCCAAACTCCGAGATCCTTCTGTGAAGATTCTGCGGGGAGCCTTATATCTTTCAAGTGATAAGTCCTCAGACTCTCATTTGAATGAGAGTTGGTTGGACGCAGTTGAAGGACGGTACACTTCTCCACATTGAAATCTAGAAGCCAGTTCTTCGACCACGCTTGCAGTCGGTGCAGATTATCTTGAAGGGATCTCTGATCATTCAGACCCTTAATGACTTGCCAGAGCTTAACGTCGTCTGCAAACATTATTTTGCCGCAGTCGATTTCCTGAAGGCTGTCGTTAACGTAAAGGATGAAGAGTAATGGTCCCAGAACTGAGCCTTGCGGCACACCACTGGTCACATTCACCCATTCTGACATATCATCCCCGACACAGACACGTTGTTTCCGACCAACCAGAAACGCCCTAATCCAGTTCAGAAGATCTCCCCGGATGCCGATGTCGCTCAATTTGTGAAGAAGACGTTGGTGCGGGACAGTGTCAAAAGCCTTGCGGAAATCGATGTATACGACATCGACCTCAAAACCCTCTTCTAGAGCCCTGGTCCAGATTTCCAGACAGGCTAGCAGATTTGAGAGGCAGGAACGTCCTCTCCTGAAGCCATGTTGAAAATCCTGCAAGATGTTATTTTCTTCACAAAATTGCTGTATAGCGTTCTTTACTATAGCTTCCATCGTTTTGCAAGGGAGGCAAGTTAAGCTAATAGGTCGAAAGCTGCTTGTTGTCATCCTGCTACCTCCCTTATGCAATGGAACAAGGTTAGCTGTCTTCCACTGTGAGGGCAGCCTTCCTGTTCTCATTGACAGCTCAAAGAGAGTCGAAAGATGCTTTGACAGCTCCGTTGATAGCTCCTTAAGTAGCAGCCCGGGAATTCCGTCGGGTCCAGGAGACTTATCAGGTTTTATTTGACTGAGGACCCGTCTGAATTCTTCCACGGAAAAGGCGACGGTTTTAATGACGGCAATATCTTGGCGCATTTGAAGCTCCCGGCTGTCTAGGTCCATTTTAAACTGCTGATTGTCTTCTAGGGACTATTCCGTAAAAACCGATTGAAAAAACTGAGACAGTAGTCGCACTTTCTGTGACCCTTCAACTAATAAGTTTCCGAGGCTATCCTTTAGACACGCAATTTCGTCCCTATGTGTTCTCCTACTGCGGATGTACCCGTAAATCTTCTTGGGATATGTAATGGATTCTGCTATCAGCCGGCGCTCGAAAGAAGTCCTAGCAACCCGTATTTCTTTGCGACATTTATTGCGCTGATCCTTATATTCGGCGAGTGACCTTGGATCTCGAAGTTGCAAATACTTTTTCCAGAGTCTCTGTTTCTTCTTCACGGTCTTTTTTGTCGTCGGATTGACCCACGGCGGTCGCATACATGGTCTTGTCATTTTTATTGGGCAATGGGAATAAATCAGACGTTCTATAATTCCGCGAAAGTACTGCCAAATTTCGTCTGAATCTTCTGTGTTGACCAAACAGGTTTCCTCCAAAAGAGTGCGTCTCATTGCGTTAAAGTCACCCTCCCAAATATTTCTGCGCGTCTTGAATTAATAACCTTTGTTGAGTGGTAATGTACACACAACCGAATGATATTGTTAGAAAACTTTTAAATACTTTATGCTTACACTGAGAAAAGTGCAAGAAACTGGCTTTTGGGGTGCACGATGTTATTGAAAAGTTGCCCCTTGGTGAACAATGTAAAATTAATAATTTTCACTTGCATAATTTTATGACATACATGTCGTTTTGAAAACCTGTTTAGTCTGAGCACCTTTGAAGCTTGATAGACCTGTCTTTGACAGATTCATGCTTTATTATTACCCTAAGGTTTACTATAAATATAATTTATTTATTTGTCTTAACTTCTGCATTTTTGTTGTAGTCTCGCATCTAGGGTTCTGCTTGTTTGGTGAGTCCTCAGACCAAACTGCTAAATGGCCAACATCACTCACAAACATGTTATGTGCATCTCATTTTTGCCTTCTCTGAGCATACGTCAATTGAAATGTAAGTTGTTTCTAAGAGCCAAACTTCTGCGTCTCTTGAGTGCGTTTTCCACAAATCTTCCATGTCGATACAAACAGACGGATACTCAGAAGGAATTCTGCGCAGAATTCAGCTCCTCACTTGATATGAAATAAAATATTTTATGCTAACCCACACCTTATTCGAAAATGACAGTTGCGAAAATATATCGCCACCATCTTGTAAATTCACGAGTCGCACGAGTCGGCGCTTATCCAAAAGAATACGCGAACACCTCCCGGCATGGCTAGGAAAAGGCGAAACGAGGAGTATAAGCAGCGTCATTCTCGCGCATGTTGTCGATTCCGGACATCGTGTGGACCCCAACGAAGCTTTTCGTGTGATTTATAAGGTCCCATCGAGCTACCCTAAGCTACTAGGCCAGCGCCTGTTAGCGACAGCGGAAGCGGCCGCCATTAGGTTACGAAAGCCAACCTTATGCGCTCAGAAGAACCACGTTCAGGCTCCGCGCCTACAGTGGTCGACGGCTGACTAACGGTGCAACTCCCCCCCGCGCACTTGCGCTCTCACCCCGCCCCTGACAATGACTATTATTACCCCCACCCCCTCCCCCACAGTCCCCCACCCCGCCTTTGTTTAAGGAGTACTTTTATCGACTTCTCTTATCGCTTGCATGTTTTGCTTCTACCCCGTTCCTATATAACTGTACTGGCCCGACGAGAATTTATCGAAAGCTACGTATGCTCGCCACCTCGTCTTCAAATTCATTTACATTTACAATTTTGAGCATAGGATCTCATGTATACCCCCTAATACAAAAGACGCTTACGATCGAAATGCCTTGTCATTCGGTTTTCTAAGCGTTTGATCAATACAATCTGTATGTTTGCCCCTTCATTTAATACGAACTGAATCCCAATGCGCCTATTACTATTACTACCGCTACTACTACTACTACTACTACTACTACTACTACTACTACTACTACTACTTCTACTACTACTACTACTACTACTACTACTACTACTACTACTACTACTACTACTACTACTATTACTACTACTACTACTACTACTACTACTACTACTACTACTACTACTACTACTACTACTGCCACTATCCTTTCATGACGATGTTGCAACGCACTCGGAGCGCGATAGTATGGACATAATCTCTTCCACGCGACAGAAACGTACTTCAGTTCTCGAGTCGGCTGACTGCAGCGACTGAAAACGTCTGTACCACTTTGTGTGGCCTGCCTCAATAAGCGTTAGCCTGCTTATTTTTCTCTCGACTTCTGACTTCGAAGACTCTTGTTCGTCGGACCATGAAATATGAAATACTGCAACTGATAGCAGAATGTTGCACCAGAAATGGTTTAGACCCTAATCTCAAGATGGATGCTAGTTAAGGACACAGACATGTATTAGGATGGAGAACCAGTAATGAAATAAAACTCTCACAGATAATCCATTTACGTACAGAGAACAGGTGAGACGGTCGTCAGGATTTTAGCTAGCGCCAGTACTGAAAATATGACGCGAAAACCTTTGTGTAGATTCCGTACACTAATTGCCGCACTTTGCGAAACTTTTACATGGCGCGGCGATTCCGCGAGGTAAAAACGATCAAACATAATGCTCATCTAGATCTCAGGACCGAAGCCTTAAAAGCCCATTGTGAATACATTCCGGCGTTTCGTATGCATGATGCTTGAGAAGAATCCGAGAGTAGGAGACCGGTTGAGGGTTATCTCGCAATAAAAGGGGCTTGTAGCGTAATCTAACCACAAACTCTTCGCTCTCAGTGACTGACCATCGCGTCGTTGCACGGCTGACAGCAAAACTTCTTCAGAAATCGTCAGGGTGCAAACCTGATCAATCTATGTAAGGTATGCCCAGCATAAAGTCGAGGAGGGAGAATAAAGTAGAATGCAACATAAATAAAGTTTTTAATAAAACACTTCGCAAACAAAACAGGCGAGACAGGGACGGAAAAAGATAGCGGGAATTTTGCCAATGGAAAAGTCACAAAATGACAAACTCATTCACTAACGTCGTCCTCATCCTTGTCTTTCTCCTCGGTAATACACTTTGCCAAGTCCGCCAAACGGGCTAGAGTGTCCTGAACGACACCTGAGAAAAAAAAACAATACTGAAATTGAGGGTTGTGCAGACCCACGAGAGTAATAAACAAAGGGGAGCTGTAACATACACTACGACATAATGCTCATACACTGGAAATTGGGATTAACGACCGACAGTGTATCCGTAAAATAAGGACCTTCATTGGCAAGCTAATTCGACACAGAGTCGTTTACTCACAAACCTCCCATGCGACACAAACGTGGAACCCATATGACATTGCCCGACTGCTTAATCTCGGTCAATCTTTCGATTCCATTTCCTCTTAAAGTCAGTCCGCAAAGGGTGCTGTTTGATTGCATATTGTATATTATGAGTATGGGCGGATAGACAGAGTGCATTTTCTTTTGGAAGTGCATAAAATTTTTTGGCGAAATTTCTGCCTGTCATAGTCAAGCGCGAACGAGAAATGTTGGCTTAACTAGAGTTGAAATGAGCAATGAAGGTTGGAAATTAATTTCACTTAGGGACGTGTGAGTGTAGTCAGTAGGTGGTGTCATTATGTGGTATAAAAAGAAATAAAAAGAGCATCCTTATGTTGACCAAATAGGCGATCTTTTGCGCTAAAGTCGAAAAGTGGCCAAGGCGAGAGGCAAAAGAGGAAATTTGGGCCCAGTATTAACAGCCCACCGCAGTGTTTTTCAGCTGATGCGAAAGTCCATACATAAAATCACGAAAGAAGTAAATCAGCACTGACCAAGCGAAACACGTAACACTGATAATACAATTCGGCGGAAACCCCGACAAACCCTTGTTGATACTTTGAAGACAAAAATGTTAATTTGGTATAATAATTATAATCCGGTCGCCGTCGGTCGGAAATCGTGCCAGGATTTCGCGAAGAACCAACTTTAACATGATGGATATTAGTCCGCGAAAGAGGAGGAGGAGGAGGAGGAGGAGGAGGTGGGGGGAGAAGGAGGATAAAGAGCAGGAGGAGCAGGAGGAGGAAGACAAGCTGGCGTTCTCCCATGTCACCAGCCGTAAAAAGGTCTACGAACCATGAAAAGAACAGTATGCAATAAGGCAACACAGCACGCCCTAAATCGTAAGTTACCCAGATATCACGTGTTATCGCGTGCATGTAACAGTAGCGAACCCTCTAGCAGAAGACGAACATACGTTGCAGCTGGATGACTGGAAGGTCGACGGGGACCAAACCAGAAGGACGAATAGGGTTTGTGTGCCCAGTCATTCTTGTTATCAGTAGTCTTCCGTGCCTCCGTGGTCTTTTTTCGAAAGTTTCAATAAGTGCATCAATCGACTTGTTGGATGCCAGTTGTGTACGACCCGTGAAAATACTACTGTATCAAACCAGAAAACAGGGTCGGCAGGGCAGCCCTCCCTGAGCGAAAGCGTACACGAGGCTGAGGATGGACGTTGGCGCAAATATGATCACTTGTGCGCCCGTTAGTTGAATTCGGTAGAGGGCGTACGGAGCTTATAGCGCAGACGTCAAGGTTGAACTACCCGGCAAGCCCGTGACTGGCTGCACGCAGGCACACGGTGTGCGCGTGTGAGGGGGGAAAGCGTGCGTGAAACTGCGACAGCAGCAGCAACAGCAGCAGCGTGCCTGAACAGATGGCAGCCTCATGGGTATGCACCACTGCAAGGCTTGCAGTCTCCTGGCTAAGCTTTGGACAGTGGTCTTACAGGGTCCCGAAAGCCCGTTTCAAAATGACGAAGAGACGCGATTACCGGCTTTTCAAATGTTCCTGATAGATGAGAGCCCTCGCTTGAGCTTGGGTGGCTGGACTCGTGCATGTGTGCCTTAGGCAGAAATGTACAAGGGGAACTGAAGTAACAATTTTGGCTTACTTTCTGTCGTCTTTCACCCATACCCCAGGTCAAGGCATTAAACGAAACACTCTAAATTCCAGACGAAACCTCTCGTTCCGTCGATTTGCCAGTGGCCACTGATGTCATCTATACTCCAGCCCAAGATATTAAGGAAGAACTCAGTAAATTCCAGCCGGGGACTCCTTGTCCGTCAAGACGCCAGTGGTCACCACTGCTTGCGAGAGCAGCTTAGCTCTTTCCCCGTTAACCGAGATACGATCTAGTGATAGTGGCAGCACTGCTGGAGTCGCCATGGGCTGTTTCGTGAAAAGCAGCGGTCACCGTGGATCCCACTAGCAACACACCCCAACGGAGACTCCGAGGAGCCTCGCTGTCAAACACTGTCCGTCTGCGCACTGCGTCGGTTCCAGGATTGGTCAGTCAGCAAGGCGACCGCTTCCAAACACTTACTTAGCGGGCTCGCGAACTACCATGGCATAGGCGTCACCGACGTTGCGGTAAATGTCTTTGTCATCATCATTTATAGGCCAGTTCAGAGTTTACGTGGCTCTAGAACGAAGTTCAGCAAAGTTGGGTTTTGAGTTGGACGACGAGGAGCAGACAAAATATTCCCACAGCGACATATTGTTGAACCTTGTAATGGCTACCAACAACCAAAGGCCCTCCACTTGCCGCAGCGTTTGACTCAACTAATTAAGTGTTCCTGTGAAGGCTAACGGAGTTCGACGGTATTTTGGCATAGATTACTGGTGTGATAAAGGTCATTTATCACTCCAGAACTGCAAATTCTGATCTACAATAATATCCCGGTAGTTTCACATTCATTCTGGCGTTGAACGAGGTTGCACCCTGTAGCTCGTCCTGTTTGGTTGCGGCAATGACCAGGTTTGCCGAAGTAGGATGGTCGAAAGCTTGAAAGTTCACAAATCGAAGACAGAGAGGGCGGTCAGGTGGACGATCGTTTACTGAGGCTGAGTGTAAACAGCACTGCGAGCAGTTGCAGATAGCGTTATCGTTGAGCAGGAGTGTGCGACCTTGAGGTTGTAGGGCGTCGGCGCCGACCGCGCATACCTCTGTCTGAGCTGTCTCCGCCTACAGCCAATCATCTAAGACTCAACGCTGATTGGCTTCGAGCTGGTGCCAAGGCGTAAGTGGCTGGAGCCGCGAATTGACAGGGGACGTGGGGCGGACAGAAAGGTGACATAAGTAAGTGGACGCGCTAGGGATCGCGGAGACGGACTGCTACAGATCCGTTGAAGGGTTCAAAGGAAATTCAGTAGTATCAAATTTGCACCCGGATGCTGAACAAAGTCTTCTCTGCTAGCGTACGACTTAAGCGAGTTATATAATATGGGGTCCTCTGTGAATGAGGTCGCCAGATCCGCCAATTTATCGAAAAACTCTAGAAAGATCGAAGTCTTCTTGGGCTGCGTTTCTGTCCAGGAGAGGACTCCGTTGAGATTAATAACTGTCGACTTGAAGAAGTGGCCAGGTCCGAATTCCTCTGAGCGAGATTGTCGCCGGATGAGGAGAGCAGAAACTGCGACGTCTCCAGGATCAGTGATGTCTGAGGGTTTTCAAAATCGTCAAAAATATCAGCGAACCACACGCGATGCCACCATCGGCAAAACGATTGGCATATATCGGGCCATCTGACCTCTCAATCATCCTGTACGCGCCTTCAAGATGAGAGAAAACTAGAGGTGTTCGGTCAATGTTCCCTGACAACCATCCATCGAATGGAGTACACATATTTCGTCTCGAATGATACAATCCGCATTCGCAGCGACGACACCGCGGGGATATCGCAGGTCATTGGAAAAAGAGGGCTGAGATAGTTTGAGCACGTTCTTCGTCGTCCACCTCCACGAACTCAGCGTTGGTTCCCCTGATCTGACGTCTTTGCCTACCTGGAGAATCCAAAGAGGTCAGTTAAAACCCTGGCTCAATATAGTGCGTCCAGACATAGAGGTAGACCTTCGATCTACTGTATCTGGTTTCTGTTGTTAAGGGAAAGAATGAATAGCGCACTCTAGGTTCACTACCACAGATTGGCATACGCGAAAAGGTACTATTCGGGATACAATAAAGGCTGGTTAGATCAGGCAGGATCCTAGCCGCACCAAGTACAAGTAGGTTAACACAAGTAGCAGTTAAATCGCCGGACACTTCAAAGGAACCGACACGAACAGAAAGTTTGACTTGGCGGTCTCCGGCACGATGGACGGCATGTCACGTGCCTGTAGGCTTAGACAGCGTCCTAGCCTCCGTACACATGACAGGTAGCATCGGTGGTACCCACTCAAAGTACATGAAAGTACTGCCCTTTTTACATGAAAAACCTACCCAGTTGATCAGCAGGAATATGGCAGGTCGGAAGAGTTGGTTGGTCTGTGCCTCCCTTCGCAAGGGTTTTAGTCGGATCGGTACCAGCATGTGAAACCTGCTCATCCCGTACGGTTTCTTGGGCAGGTAAAGTAGTATCTTTGTTGGTGGGGGGATCGAGCAACGCAGCGGAAGGAAAGATCGGAGTGTGGTAGGCTGCACTTGCGAGATCCGGTGGACGCAGCAGGAGTTGATGCGTCGCTGCCTGCAGATCTTTTTTCATCTGTGCAAATTTGGCGTCGTAACCGGATTCAAGCTCGGTAACCTAAGAGTACGTGGTAAAGGCGGCAAAACAGGTAAGTAAGTAAGTAAGTAAGGGTTTCCGAAACGTCAGTACAAATATAACTCGGTCCATGAATTCGCCCTATCTTCTTCTTCGTCTTCTACGGGGGATGATGAACGCGATACATATAGAATTAAAAAACAGGACAATCAACAGGATATAGGACTGCCAGTAAATGCCCTCAAGGAATTGTTATTGAGGTGTACCTTGAACGTACAGTTCCTATTCGACAACAATCTATATAGGCAGATGGACGGCGTAGCAATGGGCTCGCCCCTTGGCCCGCTTTTGGCGAATATCTTCATGGGAAAATTAGAAGCTGTCCAGTTACGTCACCAGATCAACGGTCTAAGATACTATATGCGATACGTGGATGATATATTCGCGATTGCACCGAAACTAAGCGACATCTCAATTCTACTGGATGACATAAATCGAGCGCACCCATCAATAAAATTCACTCTGGAAGAAGAACAGGCCGGTTCACTTCCCTTTCTGGATGTGCTTCTGAGTAGAAGACCTGACGACAGCATTCGACGTAGCGTTTATCGTAAGAAAACGTGGTCCGGACAATACACCCATTTTGGGAGTTTCGTACCGCTAAACGTTAAACGTAATTTAGTCCGCTGTTTGACAGAAAGAGTGAGAAGAATCTGCTCAGCCGATAGCGTTGAGAAAGAGCTTAAGATCATCGAAAGCCTATTTCGCCAAAACGGGTATCCTGACCGATTCATCGCTAAGAACATGGCCGAAAGACCGCAAAAGCCCCCGATGCTGACGGCGGGAAAGAAAAGGCTCTTTATCAGGGTCCCATTTCAAGGGGATGCACCAAGTGAACTTCTGAGAAGACGCCTAACCCAAGCTGTAGCACAGACCTTTCCAGCAGCTGACACCCGTGTATTGTTCTCCACCAGTCCCATCCTATACGGAGAGGGCAAGGACAAATTACCAGCTCAGACCACCTCTATGTGTATCTACTCCTTCACCTGCTCCTGTGGGGCAGAATATATTGGTCGCACGAGCCGGCGTTTATCCAAAAGAATGAAAGAACATCTCCCAGCATGGTTAGGAAAGGGACAAATTAAGAACATCAACAGCTCGATCCTCGCGCACATGGTAGACACAGGCCACCGTGTAGACGCCACAGAGGCCTTCAGAGTGATCTACAAGGTCCCATCAAGCTATCCAAAACTGCTTGGGCAGCGCTTGTTGGCAACGGCAGAGGCCGCTGCAATTAGGCTACGCCGGCCGGTCCTATGCGCGCAGAAGAATTTCGTGCAGGCCCCACAGTTACCATGGGCCAAAGCCACCAAGCCAGACACCCGCATGTAACTGCATTCGCCGGGACCCACCTTCCCCCCTGGCGCCGACTGGAATTATGGTGTCTCACCCTCCCCCTCCCCTACCCTCCCCTGTCTACCCGTATCTTGTGCATTCATTACTTCAATAGCCATATAAATGTACAGGCCTGAAGAGAATTTATCGAAAGCAAACGTATGCTCGCCAAATTGCCTTTTGAATTTTACAATGGGAATTTTCGCAACTCAAAAACAGGAATTCCAAGGAATTTAATTGGGAAGATGCAATTTTTTAGGAAACTATAAATTGTATTGTGTAAATTTTCGAGGCTGGTTCCCCAGCTCGTCTTCAGGCTATGGGTGTGCAAAAATAATTAACTTCCATGATTGGTTAAAGTCTGAGCCAATGCGTGTTAACTGTAATTTGTCATCTCCTCGGTATTGGTTGAACCGGTTTTAATTTGCCGTTAACGATGTTGTATGTGGCATCTAGATCGATATGCCGGTTTATGTATGCCTAATCTGAGCACACTACTTCCAGAAATTCGCACCCTTTCCTTATTGGGCAGACGCCGACAATGCGAGTGTTCGCCCATGCAAGTTTGTGTCCAGTGTGTGCATGGCCACCTAGGATAGATTGGTCGCGTCCCCTCGCCTCATCTCAGAACTTTCAAATTGCTACCCGTAATGACCAATAAATGCTTGGAGCATTTATAACTGGTGCGTATCAACGACTTCGCAAAGTCAAATAGCAAAATGAGCAAAACATGCAATTTTGCCACGATCGACTGCCTACGCACCTATTTGAGATCCTACAAGAAACCATCTTACAAGTGTCAGAACTAGAACGGCTTAAAAGAGGAGCAGCTTGGACAAAAAGTGGGCGATTATCTCTGGCAAAAGTTGTGGTAATTCAACATGTCGAAAGTCCTAACAGCAACAGGGGAAAACATGCAATGCAAAGGAATGAAGTACAATCCATCTGACTCTTCCTTGAACTTCCTTGGCAGCTTCGGGTCCATCCTATCATTCCCACCTAAGACTGATTCCTAGAATATGCCTACTTATTTCATTTGCGTAGGCATACAATGTTGGGGTTACGATTGCGGTCAAGCTTACGAATACGGGTTACGGTTAAGGCTAGAGCTAGGTTTAAGGACAAGGTTAGGTTAAAGACTAGGGTCGGGCCTAATTTTTCCTGTCTAATGCTATCTTATCCGATCCGACGATCGTTAACCAACAACCACAAATTAACTGCATCCCACCCGCTTGCGTGCCCTCAATTTGCGCCTTTCAAATTGTTATGGCCTGGCCTGGTACTTGAAAGTACGTGGGAGCGTATGCGTGCCCGACTCGGCAGAGGAGGAGAAGCGACCGGCCAAGAAAATGTGTATTAGGAAATCGCAAGACAAGATTAACTGGAAGTAATGCATATTCATAACGCCCTACTGTGGTTCGCCGGCATTCGGCCCAATGCCCTTCGGGAAGAACATCCCAGACGAGCTGGTCCATATTTCGAATACGCAGATCGATCAAGCCCGAGGGGGAAAGTCACTGGAGAGGTGCCACGATTAAGATGACAGCGCTGTAGAGAAAACGCACATGGCCTCCCGTGATTGGCTGCCTCTTGTTTTTGGGTGTAGGCACTGCCAACACAAATGACGTGATCTGTTCGGGCACCTCTTTGAGATAACAGAACATAGCAGAAATGCGAGTTTGCCCAATGGCTTCTGCGAATTACGTTAATTATTACCTTCATATGTCCCATTCATAAAAACCCCACTAACATCCTTCACGTACTACCGGAGTCTCTGAATTCCATTTTCGAGGTGGGGCCGCAACGACAATGTTGCCAATAAATACATGATCGGTTATCCGAACAAAAAACGGCAACGGTATAGAGAGGGACCCCATTTAACTGTCAGTAGACTGTGGATCGTGCCATACGTGATTTATGGCAAAAGGAGTTTTGTGGGTGGGGCAGCACGCAAGACAGTAAGCTGGCAAAATGGAAGAAAACACAGAAACTGCCTGGGTTTATGCCGAAAGTCTTATCCTACGCTATTGTACGACAACAGATTTTGGGTTAAGGTGTGAGGTCGTGGGAAGCAACCGTTGTTGGCAGTGTAATTTCTGCAACAGTCTGCAAATGATAAAGCCCCATATGACACGATCCACAGACTAATGACCGTAAAGCGGGGTCCTTCTCTATACCGTTGCCCAAAAAACAGCTAAATTATGTGGCGACTCGTTTTCCGCCAAAGGAGGTCGGAGGGGGAGAAGAGGGAGAGAAAAGGGTAACTACCTGGGCCTTTCGCTCCACCTCCTGCTGATTGGCTTTCCGCTCAGCTCGTCTGGCGGCCACGATGGCTTTGGCCAGGTCGCACTGCACCGAGGCCAGTTGAGATTCCAGGCGCTCACGCGTCTGGTTCGACTCCTCCACGAGACGCTGGTGCTCCAGCGTGAGATCATTCAGTCGTTGGCGGACGCTCTCAAGTTCCTAAAAAAAAAGAGGGCAAAGGCGGCAGTCAGGTGTGCGTGCGTGTTCGCACACACAGCGGGTGTGCATAAGTGCTCAGTCATGGTGGTTGGCGACGACCGCCATCCTCAACTAAGTATTGAAAGTCACGCCATAAATGTGCCCAGGGTTATAAAGGATCTGGGCGTATCATACTCCAAGAGTCTCAATCTCTCGGAGCACTGTGCCTTGATAGTCTCCAAAGCACGTAGAACGACCGGGTTTATCCTCCGAAATTTTAAAACTAGGGACATTAGAATGCGCCTTTACAACATGTACGTTAGACCTGGTCTGGAATACTGTTCGTTTTCATTTAGCCTCATGTGTGCTTCTGAGCGGAAGAAAATAGAATCCGTTTAACACTTTTTTACCAAGAGAATTTTAACCCCGGAACAACGACATTTGTCTTACCAAGAACGTTGCCGGCTTACAGGCCTCGATCCTTTATGGTTCCGTAGATTACAAAAGGGACTATTTTTGCTATTTAAACTCTTATATAATCACACATTTAACCCACTCACTTCTTTAAGACATCATATCCACCCACGACGTAACAGTCGCCGTGAGGTCTTCTTATTTCTGCCTCTAGCACGTGCTGTTAAATATCGTCGGTTCTATTCTGTAAATGCAATCGCTATTTGGAATAAACTACCAATGAGTGCGAAAACTCTGCAAAATTATCCTTTATTTAAGAGAACTATTACTCGATTTTTGCATTCAGAAAAGCTCCCACAAATTTTGGGTGCTGAATCTACTGATCGACTGTACCGTAGCGATGGCGTTTGTGGTCTCTGAACACTATGTCCGGTCTCACCAGCTGTTCCTCAACGCCTCTACTTTGGCTATCCCCAACTTCATTAAAGGAATTTGGCGTCCGACAATCTCTGATACCGTGCAACCTCCCCCCTTCTTGACGGTCGATATTCTACCACCGCCGGCAGTTTTTCCTCCTGAGCCCTCCAAACCATAAAAACCACCATCAACTATATTTTTATCCCTTTAGCTCAGGAGTTTTTTTTCACTGCTGGTCGGATTTATGTTTAATCGCTTCCCTTGACAATGCCTGTAAACTGGCATTAAATAAAAAATTTATTTATTTATTTATGTATATACCTAAAACGGGCAACGTGGTAGATGCGCTCGACGAAGGTCCCTAAACAGGACATGAGAACAGGAACCGCCGGCAACTTCCAGTGCAATTAGGGTTAGGTTTAAGGTCAGGGCCAGGGTTAGGTTAAGGATTAGATTTGGGGCAAGATTTAGAGTTAACGCTAAGGTAAACCAGAATCGAATGTAAGATTAAGGTAAGGGGTCAGTGTTAAACGCAGAGTTGAGGTTTAGGGTAGGGTTAAGATCGGAACAGCAAGTTAGTTTTATATTAGGGGTTATGTTGCGGATAGAACACGCGAATAGTTTGTCTTTTCCGACATTATGCTCATGCTCACTTCTATCTGCGACTGTCTCTGATGATAGATTCGGGCGAGAATCCGAAACTTCGGGCCAATATACTTCTAGTTACACTGATCGCATCTTCGTCTTCACCACTGCTACTTGGGTGGAGCGTTCCCAGTCTCATGCCCTGTTTAGGGGACCCCTGCTTGTTTGTCACGGTACTGACACACCAGATGCAGACAGCTGGTTCGCGGTTATTACCGATCGACAGTACCCCATAGGCTTGTCTTGTGCCGTCTGAAGTGCAGGTATGCATAAAAACTTGTCAAAGCAGTAGGCACGTGACATTCCCCTGTTGGAGTCTTTCTAAATCCCATTCTGTCCGCCTGCCAGGTAGGCTGCTAGTGATACCGAATGTTGTGCCAGAGGACACATACCGCATGAGAGTCCGGCCGTCGTTGCCGACAATGTCCGCCGTGTGACCTACAGCAGTTTATAGTGATAGCAGACTTGCACTGCATCCACCCCACTCTTCCCTCCTCCCCCACCTGGACCCGGTGTCAAGACAGAGTCAAGAAGACCGGAGGCGGATGAGGGCGCAGGTGGATGGCACGGTCGAGCCCGCACCTTGACGCTCCACCCCACACCCTCTGGTCCACCCAGAAAATGACCAGGTTTTTGACCAACAACAACAGTGGGGGGAGGCAGCAGGGGTCCCCGTGTGCGCGACGTCTGCCGCCAACCGGGTCTGCCCGCGCACCCTGAAATGTTGGCATTTGTTATGGTAACCAAATTCGATAACGCCTGCCAGAATCCGATAGGGCCCCGTGTTGGTCTAGCGCATCTACCACGTGGCCCGTTTGGGGGGCACAAATACCGGACATAGGACTTAGAAAGCTCGTCAAGTTACTAACACGCCAGACGCAGACGGCCGTTTCGAGGCCATAATCGATCGTCAGCACGTCATAAACTCGTAATAATTTTGTAGGAAATTATGCATCTCAACGTTGCACATCTGCCATGGCGCTACCAAAGGCGTGGTCGGCAATGACTGCCTATCTGAAAAATACTAACTAGCAGAAATAAAAAAGGCCATTTGCAGCGGAGATAAGGTGGATTAATAAGGCGAAAACTTACGATCCCCTTGTCCTTCGAGTCCTGTTCCGCCTCCATGAGTTTTTGATCCAGAATAGCCACCTCAAAGACGCCTTAATATAAAAAACAAAACAAATCGCAACTACTTAGTTGGGCAATAGTTGCTGGACCCTCTCCAGAAATTTGATTGCTAATATCACCCCGTCGATTGGCAAGCAAAAGGTATCTTAACGCGCTATGGATCACAAAAGACTGTAGAAAAATCAGATAGGCGATACGTGAAAGAGGGTGTTCACATTCAATTCTCCAGGAAAAAAGACCTCCAGGGCAGGTGGGAACAGGCGTTTTCCGTCCTGCAGTTAGATACTATCGGATAACATCACTATTGAGAAATTACGTAGCTTTCTGCTGATAGGCTATTCGGTTTCGCGCCCACTTACGTGGGTTAGAATCCAAGACATTCTGGTTAGTTGGGAACGACTGATGAATCTTGGTCCACGGCCCTGCTGCCATCTGATTGAAGACTTCTAACCATTTATTGGAAATCACTCACTAAGTCCCAGGCGTCAAGCAGTTGACAAGGTATTCATATGCCCTTAAAATGCTAGAGGGACGTTCACTGATCGTTTTGACGGAACTCACTCGTCCCGTTGTGCCTCACGGGCTCTCTCTCGGGCCCAACCAGCGGCCGCACAGCAGCGCATGATATAGGCAGAATGCTATTACTGACAAAGACAAGGGAGATTGGAATAGCCGTTTCGGGCTTATTAGCCGTCGTCAGTCATACACCACCTCGAGGGGTGGAACACCTGGGGCTCGATCCCGCGGACTGTTGGTTGGAATTCCAACGCCTCTAACCACTGTGCTGCGGGCTCGTCCTGTCGGTTGCGATCGGGTATGAACAATGGTAGGGGGCGCTCATCGATCGTTTTTACGGAACTCACTCGTCCCGTTGTGCCTTACGGGCTCTCTCGAGTCCAAACAGCAGCCGCACAGCGGCGCATGATATAGGCAGAATGATATTACTACTGAAATGTGTACAATAAAGGTATTTTGATGTTTTTTAACAACTATAATAAACGTCGAGTTTTTGACTACTCCAGACAAGTTGATAGGTCGCCATTCAACCATTGGTGAGTCTTCAAATCATTGACACACTGGTGCTTGATTCAAATCTCAGACTGGTTAGCAAAGACAAATATTCCACAAGTGATCACCGCAGTCTCCAGGGAAACACATTCAAACTCACATTTCTTTTTTACAGCATCGACTCGCTCCTGGAAGGTGCGTGAATCCTCCTCGAGGCGACTAGCCAGAAGGTCGCGATCGGCTATAGCTTGTTGTCGTTCCTGCTGTGCAAGACAAACCATTCTAAAATGGACAGAAAATAAACACTGAACTGAGTTTTCTTGCAGATGAACAATGGTGAAGATTTTCAGTTCCAGAATGAGGGGTATGGAAGAAAAATTCACGCTGGTCAAACGGGGAGTCTTCGCGAATTATCCACTGACGTAGGCAGAGCCATACACAAGCAATGCGGTTGTCGTGGTAAGAACTGTAATGTTTTTCAAGATCTCCTCAAGAATTAAAAAAAAACACCGGAGACTTGGCCCCTTAAGTACGCAGTTTGGCGGAAAACAATCCCTATTGACCGCGGTGACGACAGAGTTTATGCTTGAATTAACGGCTGCGCCATGCAGCGGCAGAATATCGGCGAAACACGCGTGTATGGGCTTTTGGCTAATACCTGTGTCGTTAGTATGGTATCGCCTTACCTTAGAATATACTAATAGCTGCCTATCGGCAGTTAATGAATATTACGCGATTACCCGCTGTGACTGATGGACTTTGGCCCAAATATTCAAGCATAAAAATCTCGGCCTGAGCCTATAGACCTTGCATAAACTGATCTGCTCCAAGTTCGTAGATAATTCCTGAGAAAATTAAAGAACGACAGATTCCTTCTTGTGTCAGTGCAGTGTTAGTTTTTAAAGTAAAATAGGTAAAGAGGGGTGTTCAAATTAGCTAACAATTCTACGGACAAAATAGGGGGATTTACGACCGCCTTCACGAAGGGTTTATTGGGTTAGACCTTTGGGTTCGTAGAAGAGGCTGAGATTAGTAGGGTCAGGTTGAAACAACAAATAAGTGGTATGCACAATCTCCTTCAGTCAGTCAATGTTGGATGCAGGCTACCTGATAATGCGTTCATACGGTCAAGTACGCGGGCGGGAGGCCGATGCGGCGGTCAGTGTGTTCAGGCGGTCCAGTGTTTGCTATCATCCGTGGACGGCTCCGGCCGGCAACTATACATCATCCTTACGACGTGTACGAATGTTATATGCCTTGCTCATCTGCATAACTCCGCTCCGCACTGAGCAGTGTAGAGATGCCAAGGCAAAACTCAAGACAGTCTTCTTGGGTGCATGATTCCCTTAAGCGTCTCAGAGGCGCTACTGATGCTTCGAAATTTAATCCGTTAGAGAGCTTTGATATCGATAAGGCCACTTCCACGACCTGCATTGAAACAATGCCCCTGTACAAAGTTTTTTTTCCATCATGGAGTAACTTGAACATGTTTTCTCAAGAAAGTCCATCTAAACGAAGTGGAATTTTCGAACATTTTTTGTTAACAAGGAGAGCCCAGGAAATTTGCCCGTATTCAGCGGGTGCATTTTTGTCTGGAACTCAAAGAAAACAGATAAGTTTGATGGCTGCTGCTGCTTCTGCGGCTGCTGCTGCTGCTGCTACTAGCTCTGTACTGAGGACTTCACTCTAAGTGCGTTCGATAATTCCATATGAAAGTGTGGACTGATGATTGTGCCTCAGCTCGCACTGATGTCATTCGCGACTCATGGAAACAGGTTTTATTAGAAACTTCCATGTCGGTGTTGACTCCAAGGCTGCTGGTTAGGTCCGATGGTGGCTGACTGGGCCCTTAAAACAGCAAAAAAGCCAACTTCCACAGAACTATGCGCTGTTCGCCGTCACTTCACTTCCACTCCAAGGCCCTAAAAGAGGTTTGATATGACGTCGTTCAAAATGAACAGTGGTTTAGAGGGCACGCCGATCGCGTTATCAGACTCACTCGTCCCATTGTGCCCCGTCCGTGGCCACAGAGCAGCTGGTAGTACAGTAGATGTGCTAGCTCATGAAATGTCAAACAGAATTTCGAAATGTGTTCCCGTTTCGAAAAGATGAATTGAGTAGTGTTATAAAACTAATCAGGATGCAGCATAAATCTGTAATGATCCAGCTACCTCAGGGTGTCGGCTTTCGAAAGAAATTATTTTCGGCTACAAGCAAGATCTATACTCTGCAAAAAATGACTACTTAAGTAGTGTGCAATCTTCTCATTGATTTTCGATGCCCTTGAAAACTCAATTATATGTCATGGAAAACATACATAAAAATATTCATTCTTGTACTTATTCGCTAGAAAATCACGTTTTCTTCCAATTTCATACTTAAAAGAAGAGTACAATTCGGTTTTAAAAGACTTTTCTAATTCCCGAATAATTTTGAACCCGACCTGCTGTTACACTTGCATTCAGGGTTTCAAAACTACAAGTTGTATATTTTCCGTGTACGGAAAACCATGCATTTCTCTACGGTGTTAAGAGGAGGCCATATGAGGTCCATAAAATAAAGCAGTCGATTTGAGCAAGATTGTTAACTTTACAAGCCACATTCGTAAATGCAGATACATGACGTTTCATGAACGGCCATTTTAACGGTATTAAAAAATCTCACAATTAGAAACTTTTTTAAAACCGAATTATACTCTTCTTTTGAGTATGAAATTGGAAGAAGACGTGATTTTCTACCGAATAAGTAAAAGAATGAATATTTTTATGTATGTTTTCCATGAAATATATTTGAGTTTTCAAGGGCATCGAAAATCAATGAGAAGATTGCATACTACTTAAGCAGTCATTTTTTGCAGAGTATAGATTTTGCATGCAACCGAAAATAAGTTCTTTCGAAAGCTGACACCCTGTGGTAACTGGATCATTAGAGATTTATGCTGCATCATGATTAGTTTTACAACACTACTTAATTTATCTTTTCGAAACGAGAACGCATTTCGAAATTTTAGTTGACATTTCATAAGTTAGCACATCTACTGTACATATAGGCGGAATAGCATTACGGACAAAGACAAGGGAGATCGGAATGGCCATTTCTGGTCTACAAAGTACAAAAAAGGACTAAAACGTTGTATTTCTTACTGTTTTTCATTTTTTTTTGTCGTTTTGTAAAATTTCCCTTCTCTGCTGACATTTATATTAAACCCTCAATAGTTGGCCTGTCATGCAGTCGATTTTTTTGATTTGGTGGTTTTTTCTAAAATAAGTAATATCTTAATCAATAAATAATACTTTATAAACCAAACCGTGCCTTGTTTTGAAGCTCGATCGTATATTTAACGCAGTATAACTTTCGTGGATGCGGAGTGGCAGTATCGTACGCTACGGCGATTTAAGTTCACAGTTCGTGACATTTCATCAGATAGGTCACGAACTGTATTGGTCGTCATCAGCCAGCGATACCCAGACCCGAGGTATGCAGCTCCCGAATTTGGAACTCGCAGTCTGTTGGTTAGAGGTCACGGGTCCATAGTCCTGTCTATTGACGACGGCTAATGAGCCAGAAATGGACATTCAGTCCCCCACCCATCTTCGTCGGCAATGCTACTCTGCCTATACTGCGCGCCGCTGCGCGGCTGCTGGCAGGGCTCGAAAGTGAGCCCCAAGGCACAACGGCACGGGGGAGTTCCGTTGTATGTACCCAATAGCAACCGACAGGACAGCGAGCCCGTGGCTAAGCGGTTAGGACGTTGGACTTCTAGCCAACGGGTCGCGAATTCGAGCCTAGGGGGTTGCATGCGTCGGGATTGGGTGTGACCGGCTGATGATGAACAACAAACCAGAAACGCCATTCCACTCGCCTTTGTCTTTGTCGGTTATTTCACTCTGTCAAAATTAACTCTCAAGTCAGCTCGTCCTCGCGCCGTCCCAGGCCTGTGGTCCCATCTCGGTATGCTGTCAGCCAACCAACAAACAGAAGCACTGATCGACCGTAGTACATTGATAACCCACGCATTGCCGACGTGCCCCCCCCCCCCCCCCCCACCCCCCACAGGCGCAGGCAGAAACCTCATTCCGTTAGGCTTCACGGATCAATCAAATTACCGCACGGCATATACATGATGCAAAGTGACAGGTGCTTGGGAGGATACACTGCGACAAAACTCACTCCTTTAATACGTCGACGTCCTCAGTGAGGTCAACATTATTGTAGACCCCGGCGTCCAACTCCGTCTGAGTGCCTGTGTTTTGAACGCCAGCGCTGTCCGTGCCTACGGCCAGGTACGCAGGGGCTGCCTGTCTAGACAGGTGCCGAGAACGGGTCAACAGTGACCGGACGAGTGGAAGTCGACTGCACGCAAAGTCCAGCCTGTGCTCCAGCACCTGCAATCGCCTCAGAAGGGCAGCGAGGGCGGTGTTGGTGGACCGCGACCTCTCGGCTCGCGTTCCACCTGGGACGCCATCGAAAAGTGTCTGGTCCAGTTGACGCAGAGCGGATGACAGGACCTCCAGGCTAGCTCGATAGTTATTTGCCTGTTGTTGCTTCGAGCTGAGGGAGACTTGTAAATCCTGCAACTGTTGAGACAGTAGCTACAGGGGTGTAAAAGAAGACGAAATTGCCAGCGGAGTTTCTGCTGAAAAGCTAGTTACTAATTTGAAACAGGGGTGAGAGTCGCTACTTTCTTCGCTCCGAAAAAAACTTTGCAAATATCAGAAACAGGAAGGCCTGTAAGGTTGATGGGCGCTCACCGATTGGTTAGGAAAATCATATGCCCCGTTTTGCGTTTGAAGCTCGATCTAAAGCCCTGCCGGCGATCGCATGGCTCAGTCGCCGGCAGTCGCATAGCCTAGTCAAGGAAAGCGACATGGCCCAGCGGTTAGAACGTTGGACCTCTATCCAACAGGTCGCGGGTTCGAGTCCCAGGGGTTTCAAAAAGCTGGAGCTAGGTATGGCCGGCTGACAATGCCTAATAAGCCAGAAGTGGCAATTTCAGTCTACCTTGACATTGTTGGTAATGCTACTCTACCGTTTATTAATGACATCTACGAAAAGAGCTCCCAGTAAAAAATAAGGTTTGAGTTTCACGAACACCAATTTTTTTTCGTTTGGGCACACATACATTCCTACATTTGGCAAAATAACCATCAAGGACGCCACGGCTGGCTCCGCGATACGAAAGTTCGACTTGCTTTGTTTAATTTTCGAGGAAACTGATGCGCGAACTTGGAGTTAATCTTTCAGAATATTACGCGGTTATTCCGCAGTAGATGATAGATTTCGGCTCAAGTAATCATATCAAATTTCGGGCCGTGCCTCAAAAAGATCTGTTCTGAAAGATTTACTCCAAGTTCACGCATTAATTTCCACGGAAAGTAAACAAGGCAAGTTCAAACTGGAGTTCATATACCAGAAAACACACGGGGAGAGCTGGGGGGTCCACTGATGAGCCGAACCCCTCTCAGCTGCGTCAGGCAGCGGCACAAGATCGACAAAACACGCGTGTCTGGGCCTTTAGCCTATAACTGTGTTATTAGCACGTTAAATAATTACACCAAGTTCGACTGTCGTTACCGGCTATGCAGTATAATTTTAATCTGACAGATTTTCCGCTACTCCAAAAATGTGGTATTACCTCAACGTGAATAGGAATGATGCGGTTTTTCCGCAGAATTCAATTGCCTTTGACTCACAATTCTCTGTGGTCTCCCACTCTGCTCATCACATATTGATCAAGTTCAGTCCGAAAAATGATTACCCGCTCGTGACCTCTATCACCTCTTCGGAGCTCATTTGCCTCGGTTCGGCATTGAAATTTCCGCTTACTCATTTTAAGGGCTGTAGCCTACTCGAAAGGTCTTATGTACAAGTCGTCCTTTCTCCGTCTTTTTAGCAGTCCACAGACTTCCATCTTCATCAGTCCTCGCTGCCCCGAACGAGGAATTTTACACATCTATCAACAAAGATCCAAGTCAACTATTTACAGATGTCCGGCAATGAATAAGTCAAGCCGTTCAGTGGCAGTAAAGTGCTAAACTAAGTCGCAAACAAACGCAAAAGTTGGATGAGCACATCTCACCCCTGATTTTTGATTGGCTGCCTGTAGGGCAGCATCTCCGGCCTGCAGTTTTAGGCTGAGCGAATCGGCTTGAACTTGGAGCGTTTGAGCCTGTGAAGTAGCCTTCTCCAACTCCATCCGCAGGTCGGCTTTCTCCCGTTCCGCAGACTCGGCCTCAGCGCTCTGCTGCATCAACAGACGAAGAACGTGGTGTCTCCAGGCCCGTAGCAGACCGTCGGCTGGCGAAATCGGAGGCATATCATCGTAATCGGTCCTGGCGTGGGGGGAGTAAAAAGCAAGGACATATCTATAGCTTCGGCCGACACGAGGCTTCCTTTAGAATCTGTTCGATAGCAACCGATAAAACATAAGAAACTTTACCCCCCCCCACATCAGGAGTAAGTGCTTTTGACAGGATTCAGGACAACTATTGGGTAAGTGGGTATCAAAGAAGATGCTGTATCCGCCTGGCGAGATTCCAAACGCTCCCGGACGTCAGAACGCGTCCGAAAAGTGCAGATTTCTGGGCAGCACAATTATGAAACCTGCAACCGGTCTGCTGGGGAAGTGAACAGAGATGCCCAACTTCCAACTCCAACAGTGTGGAAAAATTCCACTCGACGAACCACCCCGTAGAGCCGCTGTGCAGCGAACGACGGCCTAACCGAACTTCCGGACGACTTGAGAGCTGTAGTCGTTACATTCTAACTGGACGTGACGAGGGCCAATATTGCTGGATGAGGCAATATCCTCTTTAATAACAATATCACTCTGACGATATCGTGGGAGCTCTCTGATACCGAACTGATGCGGTAGGTATTTGATCACCCCACTGCCCAAGTGCTGGACACCTCCTTTTAACCGCGTTCACTCGGTGCAAACAATAACAGTGTCAACCGTCTCTCCTATATGCAGAGTCCATAGACCTGATGCGGTCTGACACAGGCATTGAAGGCTATGCGTGCGCAACTGTTGACGTTTAAAACCAACTCCTATTTCTTCTGTCACTGCAACGAGCCACGCGGAGCTAACACGATGACCAGATCAGCGTACAGCAAGAGCTATTGAGCTGCGCATAGATGAGGGGTGTGTGATAGCACACAAAGGCGCAGGGCCGCGTCGTGGTAGCCGCCTTTATCCTATCCCGCCCTCGGTCTTCGCGACTTTGTCTTGACACCGGGCCCAGGTGGGTGGGGGATGAGTGAGTGCAGTAGACGCGGCGCAAGTCTGCTATCACTATAAATCAATTTACGCACAAGTCAACGTCACTGCGCCCACCCTGTAGTGAGGCACACGGTGGGCATAGTCGGTAACGACGGTCAAACTGTTGTGCTTCTATTCAGACGGTCCCTCACACGAGCAAGTACGAAAACTGGCGGCTTAGCATTACGGGCGTCTGAGTGCATTCCAAATTCTACGTGTCTGTCCCTTCGTCTCCTGACTTGCACAAGAAGCGGGCGTGAATATTTACCTTCATCCAATCACGTGCGAGCTCACTCGCTCCGGCTCGCACTCGTACACTCTGCACACATGATACAGACCAAGCCAGCTTCCCGCAAGTTCCCATCTCCTACTTTACATCCCAAAGGGGAGAGGACGAGTAGGACAAACAAACCGCACTTTTGGGATGGGTTGGGCGCTGCCTGAGAGGGCGGGAGATGGTGCCGTCCGGTGAGACTCCTCGAGGCCTCCCTCTCCTGCAGTCGCATAACCTTCTCCAGACTCTGCAACTGAATGCGCATCAGACGAAGCTCCTCCTTCAGCATCTCGTTCTCCCGTCGCGCCTGGAGGTGAAAAAGAGGGTGAAGAGTTATTGGTTACAGGAAAGACAAACCAATGACATCAGCCTAATTTGGAAACGGTCAAAAGGGGCCCCTGCTATCGGTGAATAAGTTATGCGGCCGCGAGGGCCCCTGGGCTTACAGGCCAAGAATGTGGCCTCGGAATCAAACCAAAATGCGGTAAAGTCAAGACCGACAACCTGGGTACGGAGAAGGACTTTTTCGTGCATACTTTCTTGGTATTAGGTTGTTCGGAAAGTAATGGCCGGTTTTGGACTCACATAAGGCATCATTGGGTCCTTTTCAAAGATAAGATCGCAGTTGTTAGCCACACATTATCCGTTGATACTGTCGACGTACGCACTTGTTACCAGTAGGTGTGCTTACCTTGCCTAGGGAACATGTTATCAGTAGGCGTGCTCTTACTGAGTTAGGCAGGTCGCCCGTTTCGGTCAGGCTGTTGGGTTTAGTAAGGGTTAGGGTTAGGCGTAGGTTAAGTTTTATGATTAGGGTTTGCGTTTTAGGGTCAGGTTCCAGTGTTAGGGTTAAGGTTTAGGTTTCCGTTAGGGTTACGGTTAAGGATAAGGTCAGGATTAGGCTATAGGGTTAGGGTAAAGGTTAGGGTTATGGCTAGGTTTTGGGTTAGCGTTGGGTTTTAGGATTTTGGCTACGTTTCGATTTTGAGGCTTAGGGTTAGGCTTTACGGTTGCGGTCAGGGTTGGGCTTTAGGGTTTAAATTTCTGCCATCATTCAACCTACTTAATACTTCCCAGCACTTTCCCTGGTAACTTTTACCCAGAAACTCCAGCATTCCCCTACCAGTCCTTCCATTTACACCACCCATAGAACCCCCTTCCTCACCGTTCCCGTACGACAGGGGCCTGGCTGTCTGCCTCCCCATTTTTGGCTACCAACTGCGATCTAACCCTTTTCAAGACAATGGTGGTCGTCGTCGCTTTCGACGGAGGATCGCCTGTGGTTATAATAATAGGGAACCATACTTAAAAGGACGGCGATACCCGACCGATCGACCAAGAGCCTTAAGCAGAGTGCATGCGGTGACCCCTGATTACCAGACGTCCTAGAACAGTGCTAGAGACGGTTATAATTTCTGTCTGTCCAACCAAGTCGGAGGGCGTTCTGTAATTTTCTTGCAAAGATACCAAATCAACCGGCAGATGCAGCCTGATCCAAAGCAACAGATGAAGAGAGCTCGACGGTCAAAAGTGACGAGGATCGATGCTGCCGGAGGGGGTGGGTACAGCCCCGACTTATACGCAAAATCGGCTGCAGTGAAACAGACTTTCGTTGTCCCCGCCCCACTCTTTCTTTTCACAAATCCACTGTGCCCGATGGCAAGGCACGGCAAAGATAAGACAAACCCAAACAACCCATCTACGCGCGCCACAACGTGCAAAAATGCAAAGTACACACAGATCCTTCAACGGAGTGCAGTAATAAAGTACTTTTTAAAGAGATAACTTATTAAGGAAAGTTTTCTTGTTGATCGAAGTCATATTCGTTGCTGACTTTCGTTGTGGACAGCCATGTTTCTTGAAAATGAAGTTTGATGTTTGAATGAGTCTTCACCTGTGACCCAAACGAACATCTTCGTAAAAAGGAGCGCCCGAACACTCACTAATTCGCTAAGTGCCTTCAAGAATAATCCTATTTTGAAATCCTTAACTGACAGGTAATTCAGAATCTCTCTTTATGGACGGTCGGGTGAAAACACTGAAAATCGTGAAGTATTCAGCAACATTTCGAGGCCGATCTGAAACTCAACGTAATCTAAAACGAAGGAAGAGTGTAAATTAATTTAACGGAAGAAAGGTTCTCTCTATAAACACAAACTGATATGTTTACGATCACGCCTGTCAGTTCTATTTAAATTTATTAGGCACCGACCGGCCTCACAGCATGTCACCTTATGAAAACTCTTGTTCCTACGATGTCCCCATCGGTGAAATCAAGCAAAATCCTGTTTCTCTTGTTGAATCCCATCTCATTTAACTGAAAAGACTCAATAATAACACGAAACGCTGGAAAACTGTTTTGGAATCTACACTCGGAATGTGGGCAGTTGACAAACCGTCATACATGAAATCGCACTAATTATCAATTGATATTTAGATGTAAACCTCACATAAACACTATTATTAGACGTTATTTTATTTCTACTTTCATATTTACTACGTTTTTGGTATGAAAATACGTTCTATACATCTAAAAAAGAAGTTTACTAAATTAGAGCCATTTCTGACGTTTTCGGGATATTGCGATTTTCAAAATAAATCGGCGCTTCTAAACAATGCAACACTTCCTTTAATATTTCTTATATGTATTTAATTCCTTTAAACTTGTACTTAATTGACATAGACATAGGACTCATGAAATGGTGTCGGTTTGCAAGTGATTGACAATCATTCGTAAATTTCGACGCATTTCATGAGTTAGGTCACTAACTGCATTTACGAAGATGTCTCAGGACCAGCAAAAAGGTCACATTAAGAAGGATAAGTAACAGACCGACCACCAGTTCAGAACAAGACCGGATCATGGAGTCAGTTGGGGTTTCTAAACAAGTCTCCCTTCTATTGCTTACTTCACACTGGCTCGTAGCCAATGAAGTGACAGGTGTTGTAAAAGCTAAAATCGAGAAAGTTCTACTGTCCCAAAGAAGGGCCCGAGTTCTGTTGTCAGTTGGCAGCCTTTCAAGCCATGACTCTTGGCGCGTCGTAATATAGGCTCAGACGCGTCAGATCTATTGTAGTAAGGAGTCGGTTCCCGTAAAACTTGGAGGTCGAAAACCACACAACTTTCTGTCATATGGATCGATGGGTTGCAATGAGAATATTCTGTGTAGGAGTGGATATGCAGCAACATATGGGAGGAGATACTTAATCAGGTGGCCGACCTGTGCAACGTTAGCATCCTTGAAAATCGTCGTGTAGTTAGAAGGCCGACATGGATCGTTCGGCAACGGTGGTGTAAATTGAAAGGTAACGCCTGCGACGGACCGCAAATGCCAAAAAAGCTGATAGGTTGCTGACATCCGCACGGGGGATGTGTGCTTAACGGCAGCAAACAAACAAAAGACGAGGGACAAAAGCGAAGGCGGCCTCCAGGTGTAGAGCAGTAATGAACAAACTACGGCCTACTTAAACAGGTATAGTAGGTAGTTTTTTACGCAACAGATGCCTGCGGTTCTTCATCCTACCGTTGCCGACTGCTCCAAATCTCGACCTTATATCTATCAGACGCTCGCTCCGACGACATGGCATTCTGCAGTTTTACGCTTCAGCACAAACTTGAGTGCCAGCTTTTGTCAAGTTAGTCTTCGCTATCCACGTAAAGGAACCAACGTTTCTGCATCCAAACATCATCCCTTATTGCTTGATGCACGGACGCTGAGTCGGTGCCCTATAAGTTGCTCAAGGCCAAAGCCTCTACCAGGTGTGCCTACCATGCTCCTGACACAGACACGCACTAAAGATTCAGGCACGGACTTCCTGTGACCGAGTGACACATCAACGACTCGTTAATAGACCACTACCGTCCCCTATGCAGTTTCTGACATGTCAAACGAAAGAAGGAGACTACTGCCAAACACAACGGAGACTGGGACGGCCATTTCTGGCTTACTAGCCGTCGTCAGCCAGCCATATCCCAACCCCAGGTCTCGATGGCCTAAGATTCGAACCCCGGTCCTTTGGAGACTACTCATCAGGTAGTCTAACCTTCTACCATCAAGTCACGAGCCCGGTGTTTTGTGGTTCACGAATGAGGGCATAAACGACGGTGGAAGAGCATTCGCCAGAAGGAGACTTCCTACCTGCCCTTCCGACATCGTCTCTTCACCTTTCGTCTGAGCAGTCGGTTGGGCCCGGTGACTGGCGCAGGCCTCACTGCCTACGTAGGCGCGAAGAGCCGACAGGCTTTCCGTGGCCTTCCGATAGTTGGCCTCGGCCGCAGATAAGTCAGCTCGCAGTCTGGTCACCTTTTCGGCCAGTTTGGTGCATCGGTCCTCGTGTTGGCAGGCCGTTTGTGCGCACCTTTACAGGCAGGGGAGGGAGAGGGTAATAGGCACAGTTGAAAAATGGTATCCACTAGGGAAAAGGACAGTTTACGGCTATAACCTACTCAAATGGATATAGTAGGTATTATTTCTAGGCAACGGATATTTGGCTACCCTCTCCCGACTGTTGCCGAACATGATGTAGACAAAATCAAGCCTTGGATACCTTAAGAAGGACGGCAAATGCTCCTTAGAGGGTAGCCCCTCAGACAACTGACAAAGGTATCGAATCAGTGAGGAAGTTTACTCATGGTTTCCTAGGCTACTGACCAAACGCTGATTCGATCTTCCTTAAGTAGGTATGACTCACTGTTTGATCTCTGGATGTTTCATCATAGATGGGGTGGACACTAAGATGATATCGTCTCAAACATGTAACAGACAGTTTATTCTAATGCAAGTCATGGGAAATAGTAAATATTGAAAGTTCATGAAAAAAATCTAAAAGACGAGCTCGGACTACAGGTCCCTCGAATACGTCAGCTGCGTTAGGAGCGGACTTTTGTAACAAACGCGACTGATTACTTGGAGTAATAATGTAAAAGCTAAATACACAAACGGTCGATATTGATATCAGTAAGACCTCAGCAATTCGGCCCAATTCTGCATTCTAACACTTGGAATTATGTCGTCCAAACCCGTTTAGCAAAAAGTGCCTACTGACTGCATCAGTTTCTTACCTTCAAGACTGACTTGTGATACGACAAAAACGAAGTGATATGCGACGTCAGCAAAGCAGTTACTGACCCCCACAGACAGGCACTCGCGACTACTGCTAATCTACAAAAGAAACTCCAGAGGAAGTGTAAAAGCCGACAGGCCACTGAACTCAGCTAGGCCACGTGGGAGTAGTGTTCACTGGGGGAGCCTGATTTCAAGACAGAATAGGGCTCAGTTGCAGCCGTGGGGTTGGTGCATGACTGACTGGCTGGCCGGGGAAGGTAAATGAGCTAAAAATGGCCACTCTATCCCCCCCATATTTGTGTCGGTGACACCATTTGAAGCCATCAGTCGTGCTAACTGTCAGTTTCCGAATGTCATAAGTGACAGGAGAGCATTTAATTTTAACCAGTATCCAGAAGATGCGCGTCTTTCCCTCGGTGGTTTTGCCTAGCTCTGAAGCCTGTTTTCTGTTTTTTTCTTCAAAAAAGTGTTTTATGAAGGTAAAAAGGTCAGGCAAGCAGCTCCTCCTGAAGGCAGGAGACCAGGGTGTGGTATTGGCCGCGTCAGACTAGTCGCACCAACCCCTGCTCTGCGAATGAGCGCTGATTAGTGCTGCACAGCAGTGTGTCTCCTTTTAATCTAAGGACCGACACGAATCAGTTGAGTTGCAGCTCTGAGCAAATTCCTTGTCCAGCATCCAGTGGCCGAATGTCCTGATTTAATGGTCTTTTCTCGTGAAAAAATTATCGATAGGACAACTACAATATTCCAGATGGTGCTGACGTTTGGTGACATACATGAAACAACCGCTTCTGTCTACCCTCAGTGTATGAAGTGCCCTCCTCCCATGAAGACTCGAAATCTCGTCACAAGCAAGATTTTTGCTACGTTCTTGCTTCTAACCTTTAAGCTAGTCATTGAGCCCCAGGAACTACAAACAGAATGAGGTTCCTCAACTTTGCTAGTTTTTTTGGTCCTTGGACATCCTATGCTCCCCTTAGAATTGCCGCAACCTGGTTTGAAACTAACGAAAGTCAGCAATTTGGGGGTCCCCTACATTCTGGTGCCATCCACGGTCATTGGTCTATCTTGACGAAATCCGAAGTCTGGGCAAGTTGGAGTTTAGCATCATCAATCGATGCTACTCTGGAGTTCTGAGGGGGAAGCCTTCTCAAGGTCACGCTCGTATCCGGAACTGTGAAAGCTTCTGCCATTCTGTTACACACTTATTTTCAATGATGCGAGGAACAGCGTTGTAAGCCCTAGTGGCAGATCAGTATGGAATAGCGGTCAACGGGAGGGACAAGAATCGCGTGCAGACGAGGCCTGTCTGTTAGGCCGGCCGCAAAATACCTGGCAAGTTCACAGGTTGCTGAAGGCGGGAGGGACCTCAGTGGAGCTCTGCCGCGAAACAAGTAGGCTCTCGAGTTTGAAGCCTAAGAGGTCGTGGATCAGATAATGGTAATATCTCGATGCGTGGCTTGACATCGACTTAATAAGTCGCGAGGCCAGAAGGGGAAGCACAAGTCGTAGCAGTGTTACCTTTTATCCCACGAGGCTTCGCTTACCTATGGTAGAGAGCGCCCACCGATCGCTTGACGGAACGAAGGGGCCCGGTAATACGATCGGTGAAGACCCTCTATCGCATTTAATATATCCGATCGCAACCGGCAGGACAGTGAGCCCGCGGCCCAATGGTTGGACTTCTGACCCATTGAACGCAGGTCTCAACCTTAGATGATGGAAACCTGGGGTTGGAGTATGACTGACTGACGACGGCTAAGGAGCCAGAAACGACCACTCCAATCCCCCTTGTCATGGTCGGTAACGTCATTCTGACTGTACTACTAACCGTTGAGCGGTTGCCTGCGGAACTCTAGACCGAGCCCCAAGGCAGTTTCTCTTGTCTTTGTCGGCAACGTCGCTCTGTTTCACATGCCTGGAACCTGAAAATGGTGTATAGGAGAGATGGACGGTGGGGTCTGAGAGATGCAAAAGAGTGCCCTTCCGTTAAACTGCCCCGCACAAACGTCGTCCGCCGGGGAACAGGCCGACCGGTTTTTTCAGATAAACGCAAGACTATGATCTCCACACTCCGATTGGGTAGGTCGAGTGCAAATGGTACCGGGATGGGCAGTTTTATAGCCCACAACAGAGAGCAACCGTTAATTAATAAAAGTGAACTAACTGACAGCGGGGTGTTGTTAGATCTCAGGCCGGATACCCAAATGAAAAAGTAACACAGCAAAGAAGCCCTGGACTGCAGTTGCAAAGCAACTTCTTGTTAAGTTAGTAGAAGAGAAAACAGTAAAAAGCAGACAAAACCACTAACTGTTGAAGGTTGCGCCGATCTACGAGTGAGTCTAGTGTAATCGGCCTGGGAAGTGTAGTTGGTGGTGGACGAAACTCCAGATGGGGCGCAACATCTCCGTTTGGTGAACCCGGGTTTCGGTTTTGGAGAAATGAATGGCGAGTGGCGTGATCTGGGGTCTTTTTCGACGGTCTCGAGAACGCAGAGGGTGGAAGCAGAACTTCCTCGGCGTCGGTCATACTCCGGCAGGGTCACTGACCCTGCAAAGAGAGGGAAGGTGGTGAATTAGACGGCGTGACCGACGGATGACAGATTCACAGTATCATAATCATCCTCTGATTCTTCTCACTCACTATCATGATAATAATAACGAAAATAATAATCAGCATCCTTGAAGAAGGAGACACGACCGCCGGGACTAGACTACTTCCTGGGACTCGGCTCTTCGCTTCTATTGGCAATCAGCATGCTCCTCCTCATCATCATCGCCCCCCGATAAAGCCAACCAACACAACTATCTTCGTATTTGTCACTCTTGACTTCTGATAGAAGCGAACAGGCGAGTCCCAGGTAGCAGTTCAGAAGATGAAGATGCGATCACTGGGACAAGAAGTTTATTTGCCTGACGTTTCGGATTCTCACTCGAACCCATCATCAGAGACATTCGCAGATAGAGGTAAAGGTGGCACCAGGAGTGCAGTATTTATAGCACGTGGCTGCCGTGGGACCGTATGCGCACGCTAACTCTCAGGTGGCGGCACACTCGACGGGACCCGACCATAATTTCAAATTTCAAGAGGCCGAAATCCTCGCAAGGGGTGACAACCGCGTGAGCCGCGAGCTGCTCGAGTCATGGTTCTCAGGCCCGCAATCCATCAACAAACACAATGACCTCCCGGTGGCCTATTCCGTATTGCGATTTTCCCTGGGCAGGAGAATCAGTCACGTGGGGAGGGCGCGGGTGAGCAATTATCACGGTGACAGTGAGCCAGTTTGCCGAGCAATTGTCACACCAGCATCGAGCACGGATGACGAAATCGCGGCAATTAACAACTCGGACTCGGACCGCCAAGCCACCGCCGCATCAATTACGACCCCAGCGGCGATTGTGAGAACAACAAGTGCAACGATCTTCCCATTCAATACAGCGTGCTGAGACTTCGTCTAGGCGGAGTAATTGGCCACGCGGGGAGCGCACTGGTGAACACTCTTCCCAACACCCGGGTCAACGCATCAGATGGTCGAGCAATCATCACGCCAACATCCAACGCACGTGATGAAATTGCGGCAATTATCGACTCGAATGTCGGCCATCAAGCAATGATCACCCCAAGTGTGACAATCCCGGATGAAGGGGGAAGCCGTGAACGTTCATAGGCATGCGGTAGCATGGCTGCTGCATCCTATAAATACCGCAGCCCCTTGTGCAACAACCACCCGTTTCTGCTCTTTTGTCTCTGATGATGGATTCGAGTAGGAATCCGAAACGTCAGGCTTATAAAGCTCTTGTCCCGGCGATCGTGTCTCCTTCTTCAAGACTACTTCCTGGGACTCGGCTCTTCGCTTCTATTGGCAATTGTGAGAACTGTTAATTGCAGTGCGCATACGGTCCCACGGCAGCCACGTGCTATAAATACTGTACTCCTGGTGCCACCTTCACCTCTATCTGCGAATGTCTCTGATGATGGGTTCGAGTGAGAATCCGAAACGTCAGGCAAATAAACTTCTTGTCCCAGTGATCGCATCTTCATATTCTTGACTTCGCCAGAGTGGAAGTTGTCACCGTGCAAGCTGGCAATTACTGAGACGGTAGAGAATCAGACAGATCTTTGCGAAATAATCAATTGTAAGAAGTTAATTGCAGTTCCTTCGATAGAGGAGATTACTAAACAACTCAGGTATTTCAAAGCTGTAAAACCAAATAAGCCCTTATATTGGCCCTCCCATCGGAATTACTTCATTGGACAAGGGGCACTTCCAGTAGGTTACAGTAGCGTAGATGCCAAAGCATATTAGTTTGCTCAATGGAGCGAATCAGCTGTTTCTGACAAAATGACACTTGACAAACTCGCTGAAGATCACAGCAAATTTAAATTCGGTATTCAGAAAGGGGCACTAGAGTGAACGGTACTATGGGAGATAGGAATATCGGAGAGATTACTGCGTGACCTCTTGACGGAAAATAATGTAAAGTATCTATGTAAATGAATCCCCTAACTTACAGTATCACTCGGGGAAACCTTTTCTACGAGCAAAATTCATAAAAAATTTCCAGCAAAGTGGAAGATTACCTCTCCAAATCAAGCCGTGATTAAACCTCGTGTAAGAATTTAAGCTGCGTCCTAAGGCCTATTGTCTGCTGATTTGGTTTTAACTCGGTCGCAACAAGTCAGCAACTTCCTCTACGATCTCGTTCATAAGTAACCTGATTATAAACCTCCATTTGATATTCGTAGCATCCCTTCGGCCATAGCGTCGAATATATGAGCTGAAAACGTTGGCTGGCATAAACGTCCTACTTGTTAATATTTAGTAGGTTAGGTATATGGGATGACGCAGACGACTGTAATTCGGGGTCAGGCCAGGCACGAGCCACAAGGCTCGCTGCGTGTAGACGCAGTGGTGGCTAAGGGTCACCGGACTCCACGAGGAAGGCGTAGTTCTAGGGGAAAACGGAGAACCCCACTAGTTTCACTTTTCCCTTGATAAATGAGCAGAAGGAAGAAGCCCCTAGGGCCAGAACATTGTGTAACGTACCCAATTCGTATCTAAAATCTTTATCGGGGATGGCAAATTACAGAGGGGAACATTTATGGTGAGGTCACTAAATGCTATTTTATCTGACTGACGGATCTCGGGGTACAAAGTGGAACCCTACACAGATGAGGCAGCTGCTCCAATGCAGGAGGGAGATTCCTTGCTCACCTCGCGCCTGTTCAGAGTCCGCCATGAAATAAAACTTTCAACATGGCTACAATAGTGTGCGAAATGGCTGTGGAGCGGTAGTTCGGTTATGAATCGATTAGCTGATGCGTCGAGTTCCCCTAACCTGAGAATGTCAATGCAGTCAGGCTGAAGGGTGCACATCAGCGACTTGAATGCTCAAGGTCACCGTGATCAATACGTTTGGGTAAATAAAAGGCCGTATGGCTCATTTCAACAGCTAAACAATTTGCCTTGTTATTTTCCAAAATTATTTGGTGATGCATCTAGCAAGATACCAGAAAGCCCAAGATAAGAAATCCTTTTTCTCCAATGTTTGGCTCTTCATCACTAATCTCATCAGAAAGGTTATTCAATAATTCAACGTTCAAGACTTTTACTGCCTAGAATACGTCTTTCTGCTTCTATTGCCATGTTGAAAGGCTCGCACAGAGGGTGGCTGAAAACAGTAAATGTTCACCGGTAAGTCGATTGCCAGAAAACGAACATCATTGATTTACTAGGTTCAGACTGACTTCCAGATTGTCACAACGACGAACAGTGAACGAGAAGTCGAAAGGTTTATGCAAAACTAAACCCGACCGACAGGACGAGCCCGTGGCTCAGTGGTTAGAAGCGTTAGACTTCTAACTAACAAGTTGTAGATCGAGCCCCAGGTGTCCCACACTCGGGGGTTGGGTGTGGCTGGCTGACGACGGCTAACAAGCCAGAAATGCCCATTCCCGTCTCCTTCCGTCAACAATGCTATTCTGCTTACATGACGCACCGCTGTACGGCTGCTGGCAAGGCTCGAGAGAGGGAGAGCGTCCTAAGGCGCAATGGGACGAGTGGGCTCTGTAATACGATCGGGAAGCGCCCCTCTACCGTCTAACCCAACTTCCCCAGCTAGGCTGTTACTGTCATCCAAAACTGCTTAACGGCATCCAAGTTCCCGCGCCCCACTGAAGTTCCCGTCTGGCCACCTGGTATGGTATTCCGATCTGGGACAAAATGAACTGAGCTCGGCGTGAGGGTTGAGCCTCAGGTGCTCGCAACACAAGCACGCGAATGTCCACAGGGAACACGACAATCCACTCATGTGCTATCACTGGTGAACAACCGACCTACGCATATTCCCCGTCCCGTTGAGCGCTAGCAGGTGTCCATTCAGACTTATCTGATATCAATGGTAGGGAGCGCTCACCGATCGTTCTTACGGAACTCAGTCGTTCCGTTGTGCCTTACGGGCTCTGCGTATATCATGCGTCGCTGTGCGGCTGCCGGTTGGGCTCAAGAGAGAACCCCTTAAGGCACAACGGAACGAGTGAGTTCCCTATGAACGATCGGTGAGCGCGCTCTACCATTGCATATTCCCGATCAAAAACCCACAGGTCAACGGGCTCGTGGCGCAGTGGTTAGAGACGTGGACTTCTAACTAACAGGTCGCGAGTTCGAGGTTCGGGTGTTCCTCACTTCGGGCTTGGGCATGACTGGCTGACGATGGCTAATAAACCAGAAGTGGCCATTCCAGTCTCCCTTGTCTTTGTCGGTAATAACATACTGCCTATATCATGCGCCGCTGTGCGGCTGCTGGTTGGGCTCGACAGAGAGCCCGTAAGGCACAACGGAACGAGTGAGTTCCGTAAGAACGATCCGTGAGCGCCCCCCTCTACCATTGTATATTCCCGATCGAAAAACCGACAGGACAACGGGCTCGTGGTCCAGTGGTTAGAGGCGTGGACTTCTAACAGGTCGCGAGTCCGAGCCTCGGTTGTTTCACACTTCGGGGTTGGGTATGGCTGGTTGACGACGGCTAATAAGTCAGAAGTGGCCATTCCAGTCTGCCTTGTTTTTGTCGGTAATACCATTCTGCCTTATCTGATATCATTAAGGACCATACTGCCCACAGGGATGCGTACGACTGTGATTCAGGGGGACGATATGTCCCTCTCCACTGCGCAGTCTCATTGGTTGCTGTCAGACTTGGCACTACTTTGCAGAACCTTGGAGACGTATACGAGAACCCTAAACAGCCAACGTCATTCATGGGGTCCTTGAGGCGACAGTGGTCAATGAGTGATGAACACTCAGAGGGGGAACGTTTAGCAAACCACGGTGATGAGCAGAACAAAAAATGCGTGGGTGCAGCAAATGAAAACAGCGGTGCAGAGGCGGAAATTCGGAAATCTGCCTGTGGCGTCGGATAACCCTAGCTGACTAACAAACCCTCATCTTTGGCTGTTGGTGTTCATTTGGAACAAGCGATTGCCGACGCTTCGGATCCACGCTCAAAGCCATCCTCAGAGACAGTATCAGGTTTATGACAAACCCGTATCTGTCATAAATCACAATGCTCCCACGGCTATGGTCTAGATGGCAGGAGTTCAAAGACTGCAGCAGACTTTACTGGCAAGACCGCACAAATTGGGGTAAACTGCAGGAAGGCGATAAACAGGCTTGACTAGTCCGTCTGCTACTCTTTTCGGTGCAAATTTTTTATATTTGGAAGAACTCTGGAGTTGGTCAAACACTGGCACGTTCGGGACAGACACGCAATTGGAGGCCACTGCCGGCTGATTGGACAAAGGGGTTGGTGAGCTGTCGTCAGTAAGTACCAATAAGAACCCGGAGCAACAATAGGCGCAGTTTTCGTCAATGTGTCAGAAAACACTAATAACCGGCTTCCTGTTCATGCAGCGAACTGAGTCACATCGTGTATGCATAAAGCGTGTGTTACATTTGACACTACTTGACACTTGGTGGAAGGTCAACAGATCCACCTAACTTGAACCTAATGACCACTCAAAATGGCTCATCTGAAGATAACTAACAGTGTGAACACTCAAGACGCAAAGCGAAGAAAAAAGGCTTACAAAAATCAGGATTGTATTATCCTCTAGTAAGAAATGCAAGTAGCATATATAAAATACATATAAAAAGACACTGTACAAAAGAAGGGTGGCCGAGGCGGAGGGCGCGGACAGTCAACCGAGTCAAGTCTAAAGAAGGTGCGGCCATTACGTCGTGGGCTGTGGTGGAACTTGTCCGCTTTTCGGAGGTCAGCAAATGGACAGCGTCTGGGTCAACCTGCTACAGAGTCAGGAGGAGATCGGCGCAGAATTTTCAGGGTGTAGAGGAGAGTTCCTGTCGCAACCGCTACGTTGAGTGAAGTGGGGAGGGGAGAGGTGGAGGATCTGGCAAAGTCGGCACACGCCAAGGCCTCGTCCACAACACCTGGGATGCGTACAACGAGGTTGCAGGCGCTAAGGACCTCCGGAGACAGGCCATTGGCTTCTGAACCCAGAGCCAGTACAAGAGGTCGGGGCGGACCCCTAGATCCGGCAGGAGGGGCTCCAACCTTAATCAGAAGCAGTAAAAACGATTTGTTAAACACACTTTACAAACTTGCCACCGATGACGTCTGTCGCATGCCGCATAAAGTAGGTGTAGCATCGGGGACTTGGTCGTGAGGCAGTTTACAATGAGGTGGACTTGCGCAGCATCTACCGCGCTCTCTCCTCCGTCGCCCGCCCTGCTCCAATGGCAGAGGTAGGCGTGGGCGCAGTGGTTGATAAAGATAAACAGCCCATTTGCGCGTTCCGCATACGATGCAGTCATCACTACATTTATCAGGCTACCATTAGGGGCGACTTGGAGTCCATATCCATGAGAATTCCATAAAGGTCACCTTGTCTCTCAGTTCTCCAAAATACTCACCATGAAGAGAAACTTATCTCGTCAGCTGGGAACCTTCCAAGCCAAAACTTAAAGCACGTCTTAATAGATTCAAACGCGTCATATTTATCTTAATGGGGAGTGGGCTTACTTGCCGGAGGGATGGATTTTCCAATGTCGGCCTTACTTGTAGGCAATAAACAAAGGTCAAAGAGAATAACATTAAGGACAAAGACAAGGGTAGTTGGAACAGTCGTTTCTGTCTTGTTGACCGTCATCAGCCATCCGCACCCAACCCCGAGGAAGGCAACCCCTGGGGCTCGATCCTGCAACTTGTTGGTTAGAATTCCAACGACCTAACCATCGAGCCACGAGCTCGTTGCTCTGTCGGTCGAGATAGGATGTATTAACCCTAGCCGAGGTGCGCGCACCGATCGCGTTAGGGAACTCACTCGTCCCGTTGTGCCTTGGGGTTCTCTCTCTCTCTGTCTCTCTCTCGAGCCCCGCCAGGAGCAGCACAACGGCACATAATATAGACAGAATAGCATTACCATCAAAGACATGACAGATGGGAATGGCCGTTTTTGGCTTGTTGGCCGTCATCAGCCATCCGCACCCAACCGCGAGGTATGCTACACAGTGCTTCGAACTCGTGACCTATTGGCTAGGAATTCGACTTTCTAACCTGCTGAGGGAAACCGGTTATGCAACGTCGTACACGCAATTATTTGCAGAATACTGGAAACTAGTCAGATGGAGAGCGAAATGCGGCAGATATAGCAAGTTACCAGAAAGTAAATGAAACTGCTATGCACACCGGTCGACATTAAAATTGTCAGTTACAGAATGAGCGAAAGGTTAGGAATAAACTTTGCGAATGGGCCGACATTGACGCAATAAGAAAAAGCTGATTCACGACATATTGGGTGCTCAGACAATGTATGGACTAACAGCCGCCCCATATGTCTAGCTCTGGTAGCCAGCTCCTTCATCCTAGTCAAGCCGGGTCACGTCTGTGACTCAATAAGGCTGTGCTGAACGGAGCGACCAGGCTCGACAACCGCAACAACTGGCGTGAGAAATAAGAGGAAAGTTGGCCGGACTGCATCTCCGCCCGCTGAAGTTGTGTGTTTCGCAGGGCGAAGAGAGAAGCCACCAAGCGTAAACAGAAGGCTTGCGTCAGGTCAAGTCCCGCGTCCGAGGTCCATTTTCAGTCATTTTACGTATTACTGTCTTTAGAATAAGACGCGTATATGGAGACAAACCAAAACAGAGGCCGTGCGAGACGTCTCAATCACATATTGGTTTGTGGGTCATAATTGTGGTCGACCGAGACATCTACCAAATGCGAATGAGTGCGTACATCTCAAAAGACATTCATGACCGAAATCTGCCAAAGCCTCTTCCAACGCAAAGAAGCACTTAAACGGGTTTCAGCTACAGGTGCGCGTGTAAATTCGTCCAAAGTTTACCTGTAGGAGTGGTTGTGATGGCATTACACTGAGGCTTGATTTACCTGCTTCGGACTAACTACTGGAGTGGTGTCTTCGTCGAAAGGAGTAAACTGTTGCATCTCCAAAACTCCCATTTTGACTCTAATCGTGGAGGAGTGAGCGAGGACACATCACGCAACATCTTGTCCCGCCTAAACAGGCTGGTATAAAGCGGGAACAGCAAATTCTCTTGCGAGGTAAGGGAACCAAGGTGAATATCCGAGTCCCAGATATGTATGTACCGAAATAAATAATTTAGCTGGGCTATCGATAGAACCAAATGTCTATCTGTCTGAGTTTCTGAACTGTTCTATCAGCAGAAATGAAAGCAGTGAAAGATGGTGTGGCTGAGGAATCGATGCGGTCTCTGCAACAATAACTTTATTCATCAATGAAAAACTATTCGCCTGACGTTTTCGATTCATATCCGACCCCATCATCAGAGACAGCATCAGATGCGAGAAAATCATGCACAATGAGACGCAGGATCTGCCGGTCCAGAACATTCAACTACTTCTACAAAGCAAATACGATGATACGGAGAATCAACTGGAGCACGCCCATGCCCCTCAGTTCTGTCCAGAACGGAATTAGCGCTTGACGGAAGAATTTGCGTGCAGGTAAAAGGCACACCAATGGGTTCATTCATAGCTGAGGCGGTCGCGCGGCGGTTGGAATGGCTGGTCTTCCAACACCACATGCCGAAGCTTTGAGCCCCGTATGTGGTGGATCAAGTGCTGGCATTCTAAGAACATCTCAACGCCGTCCTACCGGGCATCTAATTTATGATGGAGGGGAATGAAAACAACCAGCTATTTTTCCTCGATGTTCTAGTCAGCCACAAAGATTGTGATAGCCTGAAGATGGAAGTGTTCAGGAAAGCGGAAAATACGACAAAAAACTGCGTTTCAACAGCAACCACCATATCAGAGAAAAACAACTGCGTAAGGGCACTATATCGGCGTGTTGGGACATACTGCAGTGAAGCGGAAGACAAGGTTTCCGAATTACAATAACCTCGACAGGCTACCCGCCTGACTCCGTCGGCCAGTGCATCCACAAACGAGACGCGAGGCAAAATCGCACTGATCTCAAATTCCAACGAACGCTTCCGTACGTTAAGAGCGTTTCCGAGGCTGTTAGTCGCCGTCTCGCGCCATTTGGCGTTGGAGCCGGACACAGACCGGAGGCAACTAGCAGGCGACAGGCAATGAGATCAAAAGACCCACTGACACACCATGAAATGACTAGAGTCGTTTGTCGAATTTGATGCAGTTGTGGGCAGAGCAACCAAGTCGGAGAAATTGGAAAACTTCTCCGAAAATGAATGTATGAACACACAGAAGAAGTGCGGAGAAAGAACGATAATTTCACAGTTGCGGCCCGATCGACGACATCCGGTCGCATATTCAGGTTCGGCGGGACCGCAATTCTCGTCAGAGACGCGAGCTGCTTGAGTACTGGTTCACTGGGTTCCAAGCCTTTCAACAAGTGCAATGGCCCGTCCCCTCCGTATTTAGTGCTGAGACTAAGTCTGGACAGAATAATTGTCCGCGCGGAGAACGCCCAGACGAACATTGCTTCCAACGCTAGTGGCGGTGGGTCGAATGGGCTAACAATTAACTCCCCAACATACAACGCGGATACTGAAATTGCAGTGATTAACGACTCGAATGCCGACCACCATGCATTTATGGTATCAAGGACGAAAATCAACGATGCATTTACGTTTGTATCATGAATGAGTGGCATTATTAAGAGAAAGCAGTCAACCCTCAATTATTATTGCAAGTTAGTAAGAGGAGTGTCGAGCTTTTTAATGCGGATGGGAGACCGACATGCCGGTCGATCTGGATCCCAATGAGGTCTCCGACTTTCAACACCAGAAAAAATAAGGCTTCAGAAAATAAGAACAGCAGATCGTTTTCAATTAAAAAGTCAAGTTGGCGAACGCACGTTTTCGGTAATTCTTCCTCAGGCCAATACAATTACATGAACGAAAGAAAATGTACAAAATCAACAGTGTTTATAGATGCCTCAAGGGCTATTAAGTCACTAACACTCATCATCCCCACGCCGCCCGCATGAGAAGGTCGGTGGGTGTTAGTCGTCAGAGCTAGGGGAGGGGGGTAAGAGAGTCTTTGAGTAATGTTCTTGGGTTGAGTACACGGTGTACCCATCATCCTGATTAGGGATTTGAGGGTGCGTGAACATATGCCCGCCTGGCTAGACAGAGGTGAGACCCGGTCGATTTCGAGTTCTATTCTCGCGCATTTAATCGATACGAACCACCGAGTCGATGCCAAGAAAGCATTACAGGTTGTCTACCTGACACCAACGTGCTTTTCTAAAGGCCTACGCCAACGGATACTAGCAACGGCCGAGGCAGTAGCGATACGGTAAGTGAATCCGGTGTTATGCTGTCAGCAAACTCTGGCACAAGCTCTTTCGCTGCCGTGGCCAACGCCAACCCCAAGTGATGAAGCCATGCCGCCTCAAATCCCTAATCACGATGATGGGTAATCCGTGTACTCTCTTACCCCCCTCCCCTAGCT